TCGTTGTCGTAGTCGTAGTCGTAGTCGTAGTAGTAGTCGTCCTCGCAGCAGTAGTAGTAGTACTACTAGTACTAGTACTAGTAGTAGTAGTAGTAGTAGTAGTAGTAGTAGTAGTAGTAACAATAATATTAGTAGTAGCATTGGAAGTAGTAGTAGTACTAGTAGTGGTAGTAGTAGTAGTAGGACTAGTAGAACTAGTAGTAGTACTGGTAGTAGTAGTAGTAGTAGTAGTAGTAGTAGTAGTAGTAGTAGTAGTAGTGGTAGTGGCAGCAACAGCAGCAGTAGTAGTAACAATGATACTCTGTGTAATCATTTTTGCAATAGTCATAATAGCAGTGATAGTGGTGGTTGTAGTAGTAAAAGTAGTAGTAGTAGTAGTAGTAGTAGTAGTAGTAGTAGTAGTAGTAGTAGTAGTAGTAGTGGTGGTAGTAGTACAAGTAATAGTAGTTTTAGCAGTAGTAGTAGTAGCAGCAGCAGCAGCAATAGTAGTGGTAGTGGTAGTGGTAGTGGTAGTAGTGATACTTCGAGTGGAACTAGTAGCAGTAGTAGTAGTAATAGTAGTAGCAGCAGCAGTAGTTACATGAATGCTATTATGAAGCGTCTGTGTGGTAGATATTGCAGCATCTTAGAGGAGGTCTCATAGAGGCCTCGTAGATGTTGTTAGAAGTCTGTTACAAGCCTATGAGAAGTCTCTGAGAAGCCCTTTAGGCGGCCCCTGTTGAAGCCTTGTATTTAGAGGCCTTAAAACAGAAGCCTGTACAGTTGAGAAACGTCTAAGAGGCCTTCAGAAGCCTCGTAGATGCTTCTCAGACTTCTAAGAGGCGTCTCAGAGGCCTCTTAGAAGCTCTGAGTCTTAGAAGTTTTCCAGAGGCCTCTTGAAAGTCTTATAGAAGCCTCCTACATCTAAGAGGCTTCTGAAAGCTTCTTAGAAACCTCCTAGCAGCCTTTCAGAGGCTTCTAAAGAGTTTGTTTTAAAGCCTTTTCAAAATCTTCGTAGAACCTCGTAGAAGCCCCTCAGAAGCCTCTTAGAAGCCTCGTCTTAGAGGCCTCTTCGAGGCTTCTGAGAGGCCTTTAAGAAGCGTTTTAGAAGCCTCTTCGAGGCTTATTAGAGGCCTCTTAGAGGCTTCTTAGATGCCTCCTAGAAGCCTCTAGGAGGCAGGGCTCTAGGAGACCTGAACGATGATTTTCTGCGACGCGTAAAATTTCCTCACGTTTGAAAAAAGTAGCCGGGGAACAAACCAGTTTGACTGGGGAAAACTCCATTCCACTGGTGAATATACCATCAAACCGGTGTTTACAATTCGACCCCCCGGGACCCCCTTCCCGGCGAGGAAGGGATCAAAGGGAAGGGGCTTCTCTTCGACTCAACAACAACGGGCCCACGGAAAGGAGAGGGGAGCGGCGAAGGCGACGACGACGACGACGACGACGACCACCACGACGACGACGACGACGACGACGACGAGTTAAACGGAACAGCCTGTTCCACACGCCGACAGCGTCAGTGGATTTATTGCTCTTCCTCTCGCCTCTCCCCCTTCCTTGTGCTCCTTCCTGGGGACGGGGACCACGCTGAGCTCTCGGCCCCACTGGGCCGCCAACTGCCCAGCGAGGGCCTCGGCCGCTTCGTCGTCCGCCTCTAGAGGCGCGGCCTGTTCCCAGGCAAGGCTGCGCTGGTGGCGCAGGCCCGCCTGACCGTGCCGCCCAGCGGTCTCCAATGCCAGCAGCACCATGCGTCAAGGCGTAGCGCTGGTGCTTGTCCGCCTCCGCGGAGGCGTTGACTGCCCCGTCGCGGCCAGCAGCTGCCCGCAGCGCATCGGCATCACCTGGCACGTTGTACCAGACGGCGACGTCGAAGATAGCCCGCGGGTGGCCGGGGCGTTGCGCCTCGAGGCCGAGGTCGAAGATGGTTTCTTCCCGCTCGGCGCCGCGCTGCCGCGGTCCCGCGCGCATGGCACCCGGCGCAGCGCCAGGCCCAACGGTCCCAGGCCGGTATGCGGACCTGGCGGAGTGCGAGGTGGCCGCTCTCTGTGCGGATGCGTTGCCAGGACCTCTCGAGGTCGCCGCTGCGCGCCTTCGAGCCCCCGCTCCGGAGGCAGTGCCAGGCGTTGCGTGCCTTCCTGCAGAGCGCCTCGCCGCAGCGCTGGCTGGCCCGCTCGCCCGTCCGGGCGCGGTTGCAGCAGGCGGCCCCAGACGACGCCGCATCCTGCCCGAGGAGGGTGCGCGCGGTGATCCTGCAGTCCGCGTCCTCCAGTCGCTCCCAGGGCTGCCTGGGCGAGGCAGTCTGCCACTGGGCATCGTGCGGCCCGCCGCTAGAGCGGGGGAGCGCCCTGTCTTCTGGCCCCAGGGCCCTCAGCAAGGACTCGTAGTTTTTGTGGTCAATCCCTGCGGTGGGGATGTTCTGAAGCTTGCAGCGGGGCTGTCTGTCAGCTCTTGCCAGAAGGGACACCTGGTTGGCTCCGCGCCGGGGCGGGGCGGCGGCGGCGGCCGTTGCGCGAGCCTGGCCAGCGCGCTGTGGCAGGCGGCCGCGAGACAGAGGCCGCAGTTTTCGAAGTCGCCCATGCAGGCGAGCCCAGTGCGCTCGCGAACGCCGCTCATGCTCTGCGCCCGGGAGGAGGCCCAAGCCGCCGGCGCCAGTTCCTGCTGGCTGCGCAGGCCGCGCCCGCCAGCACGCAGGGGCAGCCGGCACTACGCCCGCCGAGTCTCCGACGGGCAGGAGGGCGCTGTCGCACACCGCGGCAGCCGCCTGCAAGGTTGCCAGCGCGCTCGTCCGGAGGAGGTGCGTGAGCTTGCTGGTGCCGCAGTGGCGCAGCAGCACCCTGGCGGCCTGCGCGGCCAGCAGGTGCGAGGGGTGGGCCACGGTCGGGAGAGCCGCGAGGTTGGCGAGGAGCTCTGCGGCCCGCCCCGCCGTCTCCTCGCAGCGCGCTGTCGCGTAGTCCGCCGCGACGAGATCGACGCGGCGCCTGTCGCTCTCGTCTGGCGGCCCCCCCGCGAGCAAGGGGCCAACGAGCGGCACGCCCACGAGGGTCACGGGAGACAATTGGGGCCAAATGGAGACAACCTCGCCCAGCCGATTCTGGCAAGCCACCTACTCGTTTCTTGGGCGAGTCGGGGGTTGCTAAAGTTGTCTCTGACCCAAGGTGCCCCTAGCTTTCCGTTGAATCCTGGAGCCCCATAAAGGAGCCCTCGGGGCCTCGTGAGGGGTGCTCTGGAGGCCGTGGGGGCCTCCTTGGAAATCCTCTGGGCACCCTGGACCAGGGACACCTCTAGCAACACCCGAGACAGGTAGACATGTATACGTATCTATATATACATATATATATATGTTGTGTACACCGAAATGTATGTGCATATGTATAGAGAGATATACATATTTATATACATGTGTATATATATATGTATGTATATGTACATATATATGTACATAAATAAATATATATATATATATATACACACAGATACACATACATATAGAACACAGACAAGCTGTTCAGGGAAAACACGCATGCGAAGCCAGCTCGCTCAAAGCTACCAGGCAGCCCGGCCGCACACCCCCGCGCACTGCCGCACCCCACGCGGGCCCCCATTCTTCCGGGGGACGCCCCCCTGGCCTGGCCGACCCTGGGGCCGGGGACCGGTGCATACGGCAGGCCCTCATGCGGCGTTGGGGCGCCGGCCACGCCGGCGAGTCGGAAAGGGGTGTGGCACAAGTCGGAGGCGACGATAGGGGTGAGCAGCCCAGGGGGGAGCAATGCATGTATTCAGGTGCGCCGATGGTCTTGGTCTTCGAAAAGGCTCCCGGGCGAATACGTGTAATGCCCGCCCCTGAGTCATTCGCTCCTAGCGTCGCCGCCGAGGGGTGCGGTGCCAATCGTGGAAATGGCGATGCGATCTACGATAAAGAGGCTCGCCAGGTCCAAAATTGGCACCACGCCCCTTTACACCACACCCCTTTCCTACCCCCAGGATTCTACAATGCGGAAGGACACGGTGACGCCATTGGACCCAACGGAATTTGGCCTTGACCGATCGGGGCCGCGATCGGTGCAAGGTTGAACGATCGACTTGGTGTCCAGAACTTGTGCGCGTGCCGACGCCGCACGAGCCCACCGTACCCGGACGTCCGACGATGCGCTTTTGTCCCGTGCCCCGGTCCCCGGGGACCGCTTTTCACCGCGGATCCGTGCGTGACCGCCCTGGGGCCCACCGACGGGCCCCAGGGGCCGAATGCGAGGAAGACGGCGGGCATGAACAGAGCGTACGGTAGGTTCGCGTCGTGTCGACCGGCGGCGACCCCGCCGCCGACGTTCAACGTTGAACGCCGACGGCGGCCCAGAATCGGTCGATGTTGAACGATCGGACGTTGCGGTGACGGCCGATCGTTCAAGGTAGAACGATCCAGCGCGGTGTCAGGAGCCAACGCCAGGGTCGACACGGCACGGACCTGCAGTAGCGACTCCTTGGATGGCTGGCCAGGATGGCGCGCTCACCGCTCCTGGGCCCCAGGATCCGACTGCGCGTACTTCTTGGGGATGGCCATTTGCCGGAGTGGTTCTTGGTGCGGGTCCACAGGGGTCCTCCCAGCAATGGCTGGCGCGCTCGGATTCGGCGTCCCCGCGGCCCCCATAGGGTCACTCTGGCGCGTAATCCCAGGATGGGCCCGGCCAGAGTCGGCGAAGCGGTCCGTCGTCGGGGCTCACGTAACGCGGGTCGGCCAATCCCCTCTGGCTGAGCCGGGTTTGGGGGCCGGGTGGGGCCGATTCCCCCCCCTTGCCGCCCTCTGGCTGGCCCGGGCTGAGGAGCTTCTCAGCGGCCAGCCGAGCTTCGCGAAAGGGCCCTGGCCGACCCGGGTCTGCGCTGACCCGGGGCCAGTGCGTCCCCGACGTCGACGCCCCCCGATCAGCTGCCCCGCGCGGCGCAATGGCCCGCCGCGCCGCGCCGCTGCTCCTGGCGCGGCCCGCGCTACGGGCCCCTCCCGCCCGCCGGGCGCTGGCGGGGGAGGCCGCGCAGCCCCTCGCCTCGGGATTCGCGGGCGCCGCCAGCGCGGGGCTGCTGCTCGGGCAGGCCAGCGGGGGCGAGCCTCGGAGCCGGGCGTTCGTGGCCGCCCAGGCTCGGGCCCTGGGACCCTCACAGATCGGTCGGGCTCGGCAAGGGACGCAGCGGGACGGGGTCCAGGATTCCGGGCGTGCTTTTTCGCGATGTTGATTCTGTTCCGCAGTGTCGGATCTCCGGGCAGGCGCCACGACAGGAGGGGGTGGTAAGGCTTCGGGTCTGCACAAGGACAGCCCCCCTCCCAGGCAGTCCCGGCTGGCCTCAACAGGCCCCCTGAGGAGCCCAGGGCTATTCGGGGGGCTTACTAAGGCCACATTGAGGAGGAGGAGGAGAAGGAGGAGGAGGAGGAGGAGGCGGAGGAGGAGGAGGAGGAGGACTATTCGGGGGGCTTGTTGAGGCCACCCGGGACTACCTGAGGGGGGGTCCCTGCGCAGACCCGAAGCCTTACCAGGAAGGGAGTGGCTGGCGGGTCACCTCGACCCCGCCTTCGCCCAGTCCTTGCCGATCGAGGCCAGGGTGCCCGGGCCTGCGTCCAGGAGCGCTCGGCTTTCCGCGCAGTCGAGAGCTCCTCGGCGCTGCGCCGCCGATGTCAAGACGATGCTTCCCTTAAGTCGGGCATGCCCCTCTACAGGAGGAATATTCAAAAAGTCCGGGGACGATTTTTCTGTTATTTTTGAACTATGCTTCAAAATGTTTTGACTGATTTCATTTGTCCTTCAAAATCCGCCTGTGGGAGGACATGCCCGACCTAATGCTTCCCCCCTCCCCTCAGGCCAGCCCCGCCACTGGCGCCGCGGTGCAGCGGTCCAATGCCGTCTTCGCGAGACTGCGGGGCGCGCAGACACCCGCCGCGGACTTGGTCGAGGCCCTGCGGCAGCTGGCAGCGGTCGCAGGGGCGCGCACCCAAGGGGGTGGCACGGGGGGGGCGGCCCGTCCAAGGAACCAGGAGAAGGGGGACGTCTTACCCAGATATCCGACGATGTGAGTTGCTAAATCTTGGCGTGTCTTCTGGATTTCGGCATCGGGGGCTCGTTCTCGGGTCTCGGGAGCCATCAGGAATTCATCCAGGACGAAAAGCTGTCCCAGTGGAAGGCGTCGGGACATGTGGGCCGCGCACTGAAAAAGCACATCGTATGTCTGGGCAGGAGCCCTCGCGGCTTCCAAGAAGAGTTCTCCTGGAAGTCCCCAGGCCCTTCTGCGAAGGCCTCTGCCCTCTCAGAAGGGTCCTTCGCAGCCGAAGCCTCCTCAGAAGCCGCACGGCCCACCGGTGCTGGAGGGCCGCCTCCCTCGCGCCACCCCCCGGCGCGCGCCGCCAAGGTCGGCCGGGAGGCCAACCCCGAGGACCTCGAGATGGTGGCCGCTCGGCCGCAGCTGCGGCAGCTGCTCTCCGCACTGGCGCAGAAGCTCCCGCGGGACACCGCCGAGCAGTCTGCCTGGGAGCCGGCGTGGACGGCCGAGGTCGTGGCCGCACTGCGCGACCTGAGGCTCACGGGCGCGGACCCGCAGCTGTGCACGCGATTAGGCCACACCATCGTGCAGGCGGCGCCAGGCCTGCAGCTGGACGCCCTGCTCCACGCAGTCTGCGACCTCTGCGGCGTGGCCGCCGGAGGTGCCGCCCTGGACGGCGCCGCGGGCTCGCTGGACTCCCCGCGCGCTCCGGACGACTACGCGCTGTGGGTGCTGGGCTCGCGCTTGGAGCGGCTATGCGGGAGCCATGCACCCGGTGAGCTGCCCACGAGGCAGCTGGTGCACCTGCTGCACCTCTTCGCCCACCCTGCCGTGATGTGGCGGGCGCCGGCCCGGACCTCGGAGGTCGTGCTGAGGCACGTGAGGCACGGGCTACCCGACTGCGGGGTGGGCGAGCTGGCGAATCTGCTGCAGGCCTACGGCGACTCGCCCGCCGTGGCCGCGGAGGTGCTGGCAGAGGTGGGCCGAGGGGCCGCCGAGCGGCTCAAAGGCGCGGGCATGGCGGAGCTCACGGCCGTGGCGTCGGCGCTGCCCGGCCAGGCGGAGGTGCCAGCTGGGCTGACGGCGGCAGTGCTGACCAGGCTGGCGTCGGTCGTGGCCGAGGGCCCCGCCGCCTCGCTGGACTTGGCCATCGCCGCGCTCTCGGGTGCAGCGGAGGCACCAGTGCACGCCGACGCGGAGGCCGCGGCCGTCGCGCGGGCGGCGCTCCGCAGGGCCCTGAGCACCGTGGGCGCCCGCGCGACCGCTGCGGGCGGGGCGGCTGGCCCAGAGAGCTTGGCGAGGCTCTTGGTGCTGAGGCTCGGGGGCGGCTGCAACGCCGAAGAGGGCAACGCCGCGACGGCCGCCCCGCCCGCTGCGACTGCCGAGGGCGAGCTCGACGCGTGGGCGCCTGCCGCCGCGCAGTCGCTGGTGCCGCGCATGGAGGAGCTGTCCACGCTGTCGCTCGTCCAGCTTGCCGCCTCACTCGCGGCGGTGGGCGGCGACGCCTCCGCGGCCCCGAGGTTCGGAGACGCGGGCCCGGCCCTGTTCGAGGCTATCCAGACCGTGGCGATATCCCGCGCGCCGGCGCTGGCGGTGCAGGACTTGGCGGCCGTCGCCTCCGCGCTGGCCGCCGCCGGGGTGCTCGATCGAGGTCTCCTGGAGGCCTTCGACGTGGAGGCCGCGCTGGCCAGGCCCCTGGAGCCCGCCACGGCTGCGGAGCTAGCATGGGCCATGGCCGTCGCGAAGCTGGAGAGCCCCACGGCGTGGGCCCTCGCGGCGCTGCAGTTGGAGGGCCCAGGGTGGCTCGAAGCAGGCGCGGGCTCCAAGTCCAGGTTCTACGAGGCGATACGCTCGTGCCAGGTCGTCCGGGGCGCCCAGTGGAGGCCTGGCAGCGCTGCCGCGGAGGCACTGGAGGCCTCCTCCTGGCGAGAGTGCTGGGCCGCCCAGCGCAGCTCGGGGTGGGCGCCCTCGGCACTCGACGGCACGGTGTCATCACTGCTGGAGGCGCTGGGAGAGGACTTCCAGCCCGCCGCGGAGGGCAGCGACGGCCTGTACGTCATGCCCTTCTTCTCCGAGCGCAAGAGCGTCGTCATCGACCACCTGTCCGTGCCCGCGAGGCACGCCGTCTCGCAGGAGGCGCGGGGCGACCTGAGCCTTAGGCACCAGGTGTGGTCGGCGACCGGCCACAGCGTGCTGGGCATCCCGGACACGACCTGGGCGCAGCTGGCCGCCCGGGTGCCCGAGCCGGAGCCCGCCGCGGAGGGCCAGTCCAGCGCGGAGGCGGCCGCCGAGCGGGAGGCCGCGGTGCGCGCGGTCCAGGCCGAGTGGCTCCGCGGCAGGCTCGAGGGGCTCCGCCGAAAGGACCTGCTGATGGAGGCCGATTTGCAGGACCCGAGGCAGAAAGAGCAGCACCTACACCAGCAGAGCACCCTCACAGCAGCAGAGGGGGAGAGGCCTGTGGAGGAGCAGGAGGTCGGCCAGTGAGGACGTGCCGGGGCTGGGGTGAGAGCACGGCCATGTGCACAGTAGTGCACTACTCTTTTGGTACAAGGGGTCGTGGCCGTCCGAGCCGAAAAAAATAGCGGCATCGAGGCAAGAGCGCGATTATTGCAGAAGTCGTGAGGAAGTCTGACGCGAAACTGTTGCCGGACCAGGCGATCTACGGCCCGCTCGCGAAGCACCGCTGGGGAAGAGGCACAGACATTCGGAGGTCCGCGCGGACTCCTCGGGTCGGCGCTGGACCTCCGTCCGTGGCGCGCGGAGAAGGCCCAGCGCCGACGCAAGAGTCGGGGGAGCGTAAGACCCGGGTTTGCCAGGACTCGGGTTCGCCATCGTTTTTTGACGACCGCGCCTCGGATTTTGACGAGGAGGAGTTTCGTGGGATGTCTGCAGCGGGAGGCCTCGTCAAAATGCAGGCTCGGCCTCGTCATTTTTGTTGACGACCTCGTCGGGGATTTCCGAGTCCCCTGTACCCAGGTCTTACGTCCCCCTGAAAGAGAAGCGTGCGCACCTCCGAAAGTGTGATGTTGACCCTCTGGCAGCGCTCCGCCGGAGGAGTTCCCACCGTGGTGCACACTGAGGACCACGGCAGGGCCCCACAGGGGGGCCGGGGAGCCCGAGGACGCCCGGCCCGAGGCAGCCGCTTCGCCCGAGGCTTCTTCACGATTCGCTCGGGAATCGACAAGACACAACACACAACACAAACAAGACACAAAACACACACACACACACACACACACACACACACACACACACACACACACACACACACACACAAAACACACACACACACACACACACACACACACACACACACACACACACACACAAAACACACACACACACACACACACGTCTGTGGAAAAAAACACGCAAAAAATCACACAGACACGTCTGTGTGCTTTTTCCACGTGTGTGTGTGTGTTGTTTCTGCCTCAGTGCTGGGCTACATGTTGGGATTGGACGGCCACGACCCTCTCTTAGAGAGTCCTACTAAGGTGCACGCAGCCATGCTCTCACCCCTGTCCCACCACGGCCGACCTCCTGCCCCTCGACCTGCCTCTTCACCCTTGCTGCTATTAGGATGCTTTGCTGGCGCACGGCCGCCTTCTCTTCTCTCAAGGACGACGTGCTGGACCTCGTGCGAGACCTCCCCGTGGGCGACGGCGGCCTCAATGTGGACGCGCTGCGGGCGCTGGCCGACCGGCCTGGCGAGGTGAGGAAACGCGCGGTGCGGGTCTTCCAGAAGACCTTCGAGGAGGACCGCGTGAAGAGCCCGTCCGGGTGGATGATCGGCATCATCAAGCGAGAGGTGGTAAGGATTCACAACCAGGCGTTGCACGCTTCTCACAACATGCGTTTTCGCAGCTTCGGGCCCTGGAACCCTCACGGATCGATCGGCGCGAAAATGACTCATGAAGGGGCCCCAGGACTCACAAATAAATACACACAAATAAAAATGTTCCCCATATTTTCCCATATTTTCTGGGTTTCTGTCTTCCCCCCCCACTTCCCATATTTTCCCATATTTTCTGAAGAATCGAGGATTATTTGTGTCTGTGTGTTTTTTCCTCTCCTGAACTCAGCAGGATTGGGTCCAGGATTCCGAGCGTGATTTTCTGCGATGTTACGATGTTTGGCAGCGTCGGATCTCAGGGCAGGGGCAGCGACAGGAGGGGGCGGTAAGGACTCGGGCTGCTCACGGACCCGCCCCCCAGTAAGTCCTGGCTCCTCCTCCTCCTCCTCCTCCTCCTCCTCCTCCGCTTCCGCCTCCGCCTCCTCCTCCTCCTCCTCCTCCTCCTCCTCCTCCTCCTCCTCCTCCTCCTCCTCCTCCTCCTCCTCCCCTCTCCTCCTCCTCCTCCTCCGCCTTCCCTCTCCTCCTCATCCTCCTTCCCTCTCCTACCTGTGGCAAGGGTGGGGCTGTCCGTGCGCAACCTGAATCACCCGGGGGGGCCAGCTCGGATCCAAGAAATCCTCGCGGAGCGCCAAAACTTTGTGTGTATGCCGTTTTTTCTCTTCTTGCATTGAAGCCTCACCAGCGAGAGGCGGCGGCCTACGCCGAAGAGCAGAAGAAGGCAGAGGAGCGGAAGGAGGCCTCGGCCGGGACCAGGCCCGATCAGGGCTGGAGCCGGCCCACGGGCAAGCCCCTGGAGGAGGTGAAGCTCGGCGAGCGGCTGAGAGGAGTGGTGACCAACGAGCTGCTGGGCAGGGTCTGGGTCAATGCGGGCCACACCCACGACGTGACGTTCCGCACGAAGGCCGACCGCTTCAAGGTGGACTACCGGCTCACCAACCTCAAGGTGGTGTCCATCGACCTGAGCAGGAAGCGGATCGAGGTGGAGGAGACGAGGCAGACCAAGGCCATCCCGCCAGGGACAGCGAAGAAGTCCAAGGCCAGCGACAGGCTCCGCCAACGAAGCACGGGGCCCCTGCGGGGAAGCGCGCCCTGCACCCCATGCGGCGCTCCTTGGGACCCGCGGGCCGTCTTTGCTGGACGGCCCCGGGCCTAGGAAGCGGCCCCGAGGGGCCGAAGACATCGCAAAAAAAAGCCCCCGAGGGACATTCCCAAACATCCGGCGCATCGATTTGTTCGACGCGCGAGTCCCTGGACCAGACCTCTGGACCATTTCCCAGGAAACGGTTTTCCGTACGGGGTCGTTTCTGACAGTCTTGGGGCGCGCAGGCACAACCTCCAGAAGCCGAAGTTGACTAAAAAGGTTCGTTTTGATTGGTTCAAGACGTTTGAGGGTTAGGTTTAAGTCGGGCATGTCCCACTACAGGAGGAAGATTAGAGTATAGTCCAGAAATAGTCTGGGGATTTTTCATTTTTCTTCCAATACCCGCCTGTGATCGGACATGCCCGACCTAAGGTTTGGTGAATCTAGGCCTCCCAGATGGGGTCCGAGCAGACGGAGTCGAAGGATCGCGCCGCATCGCTGATGCATTGGCGACGCGGCTCCATGTGGAGCCCAAGGTGCTCCACGCCGACGGCGTCGATGAGTCCCCGACGTCGCCAGTGCATCGCCGATGCATCGGCGATGCGGCGCGATCCTCCGACCCCACATGCGGTGAGACTCGGACCCCATCCAGGAGGCCCCTGGTCAGCGTCCATTCATTCACGGCGCTAGGCTCCTGGAGCCTGGCCACCTGGACGCCCGGCCGCCCGGCGGCGCAAGGACGTCCAACCGCCAGGTCAGCTACACGTAAGAGTGACCCCTCGCCGGAGTGACCTTTGGTGCGCGGCTTTGGGGTGGGCGCGGGGGGCCAAACCAAAGCACGCGGGTTGCTACAGCCAAGACGCTTAAATAAGCATCGGCTTGGGTTCAGGAGGGGCCCGTTGTTGCTTGTTCCACTCTGTGGTTGTTCAGTCAGCCCTCCTCGTGCACGCAGCCACTTCTGGTGCCGAAGAATGGGTTTCGTTCTTTCTTGCGATGGCCTTACGGCCGCTGCCGCCGACCTTGCGCTCGAAGAGGGCGGGGGAAGACGAGGAGGAAGTGGGAAGACGAGGAGGAAGTGGAGGAGGAGGAGGAAGTGGAGGAGGAGGGAAGGAGCGACGACGTGCCGAAAAATGGGTTTCGTTCTTTCTTCAGCGTTCCTTGCTTCAGCAGCCTTTTCGCACTGCCGCGTCGGAAGCAGCGCGCCAAAGGCCACTCTTGCCTGGGGCCTCTCCTGCGTGTAGCCGACCAGGGCCCCGCCGCGGCCGGCGGCGCCGCGAAGACCAGCAGGCTCAGCAGCGAAAAATCGGCACAAACACCGACCAGCGTTGAGTTCTCGTGAAGCCATGGGAAAGTTTTGGCAGCGGAGGGGAAGAGGAAAGCCCAAGAAGCACAAAGACTGGAGGTGGTGTCGACTTGCGGGTCCCCTTGGGCCCCTTCGCAGGCAGGGCCCCGCCGCGGCCGGCGCCGACGCCCCAGCCTGGCGCGAGGCGGCGGCGCCGCGGCCAGCGGCTGGCTGGCAGCGCCGCGGCAGGCGGCGACCAGCGACCCGCGACGGTGGCAGTGCCGCGGCACGCGACGACGACGACGACGACGACGACGACGACGAGGACGACGACGACGACGACGACGACGACGACGACGACGACGTGTGCGTTTTTTCTACTGGTTTCGGGCCCCGGCGGCCCTCACATATCGATCCGGCTCGAAGAAGGGAGCAGAAGGATGGGGTGTAGGATGCTGGGATCGATTTTGCGCGACGTCGAAGTCGATTTGCGAGGCGGATCTCAGGGTCTTGATTTTTCCCTTGGGACTGGCGTTCTGTCCTGAGTTAGTTGTTCTGTAGGCAGTCCCAGGGCCGAAACTGGCTTCGAGAGGCCGCGAATGCAGAAAAGCTTCGGATTCGATGTTGTAGAGTCTTTGGGATGTCTGGGGACGGCGACCCTACACGTCCGGCGCGTCGAGAAAAGTCGAGACGGGCAGTTTTCATTGGTTCGAGGCCTCTAGCTTGACATCGCTCGGACGTGTATATTTGTTCCTGGGCGCGGAGCATCGAGTCGAGGAGCATTTTCGATCATCTTGCGAAAGACCAAGCGCTCGAGATCGAAAAGTGCAAGGGGAATGGACGTCCGAGCGATGGCAAGCTGGAGGCCAGTTTTCGGGGCCGAGGGCCGTCAGAAGACGATCCGGATGAAACGCGGGTCCCAGCCGGAGGGTCCGGACCTCTGGGGCCCACATCAGGCTTTCTGGAGCATTCTCAGAGCGTCCTGGACCACTCTGAGAAACTGCTGCGGCGCCCGAGACATCCTCCAGACCCGCCGCCTCTCAGACATTCCCGATTTGCTTCGATCCAAGTTTGTGTCCATACCGCCTCCATCCTACCACCACACATAAAAAAGAGCACAAGAACTACAGCAGCAACAACAACCATGTTAAGACTGTTCGCTCACGTGCCAATCAATACCTATACCCCAAGCCCTCGGTACCCGCCCTCGTCGTCTTCGATCGTACCACCTTGGGGGTATATCTTCCTTACCTGCCGCGTGCATTTAGTGCAGCCCCTAAAACGAGGGAAGGGAAGACGGGTGGAAGGGGGAGGGAGAAGAACGGAGCACGAGAGAACTTAGCAGAGGGGGGGCAAAGAGCAGAAAACAAGTGGTAGAACCAGACGGGCAGATCGGGTGGGCAGACCCATAGCGGGCGGGTCGGGGTGGCGGGCCCAGGCGACCAGGTCCAGCCTGCTTGAATCGCGAGGAATTCTCGGACGATAGCGAGATTCCCAAGTAAATCGCAAGAAAAGCCAAAGCGAGAGCGTGATTCCTGAGCGCCGAGGGCGCATCGTCTGAATCAATTGCGAGGAAGTCCCACGCGAGAGCGCAATTCGTATACAAATTGCGAGGAAGTCCCACGCGAGAGCGCGATGTGGGAACAAATTGTGAGAACGTATCAGGCGGGAGCCGCTGTTGTTGTAAACTGGGGACCAACAACACAGTTTGAGCCCCGTGACCTTCCCTGATAGAAATCAGGGTGCGAGCCCTCGGGGAAGCACTGCAATTGAAAAAACTACAATGGTCACCAGGGGGATCGACATTAATTTGTATTCAGTAGTGAGATTTCAACAACCACAAAGACAACAACAGTATCATCATCAACAACAACAGCAATGACAGCAACAACAACCACAACAACAACAGCAGCAGCACCAACAACAATATGTTCAGACTGTTCGCTCCTATCTGCTCACGTGCCACCCAATACGTACATCCCAAACCTTCGGTACCCACCATCTTCGTCTAAGATCGTACCCCTTTCCGGCTAGATCTTCCTTACCTGCCACGTGCATGTAGTGCAGCTCCTAAGTCAGGGGAAGAGAAGATGGGTGGAAGGGGGAGGAACAAGGATGGAGCAAGAGAGAATAGCAGGATGGGGCCAAAGGGCAGACAACAAGTGGTAGAACCAGACGGGCAGATCGGGTGGCCAGACCCATAGAGGGTGGGTCGGGAAAGCGGGACCAGGCGACCAGGTCGAGCAGGCGAGTTGTTGAAGCGTGGGCCTTCAGTGAATCGCAAGCAAGTTTTGAGCGATAGCGCGATTCCAAAGTAAATGGTGAGTGAGGCCAAAGCGAGAGCGTGATTCCTGAGCGCCGAGGGCGCATCGTCTGAATCAATTGCGAGCAAGTCCCACGCGAGAGCGCGATTCCTTTAACAGTGTTGGGGAAGTCCCGCGCCAGAGAGCAATTCTTCAACAAATTGTACGGAAATTCAAGGCGGGAACCGCTGTTATTGTAATTAGAAGGCCAGGGGCGCAGTTTGACGTTCAAGAATTTCCCTGATAGAAAACAGGGTGCGAACCCCGGGAGGGGCTCTTCAATCAGAAAAATACAATGTGCATTGGCCAATGGGGGGATCACCTATATATGTATATATATAAATATATCGGGATTGAGAACTCAACCACCGCATTTTTTCATAATACTAAAAAATGGTCGTTCTCGTCTGCTCGCGGACCGTATGTCCCAAACTCTCGGTACCCGCCGTCCTTGTCTTCGATGGGACCCCCTTTTGGGGCATATATATATATACATGCATACATACATATATACATATATATATATATATATATATATATAATATATATATATATGTATGTATGTGTGTGTGTATGTGTGTGTATATGGTCGCCCCCCCCCCCCCTGGTATCATACCATTCGCCGTTCTGCGAACGGCGACTGCGAACGGCGAATGGTATGATACCAGAGGGGGGGGGAGAGGAGTAGGGGGGAGAGGAGTAGGCGGAGGAGACGGAGGAGGGTGTTTTTGTTCCTTTGTTTCCCCCTCCCCGCCCTCGGAGGCGGAGTTGTTTCTATTTTGTCATGTGAAAACGCAACTTTTTTCCGGTTTTCCTTTTTTCCCATTTTTTTCCGGGCCCCCCCTGGAGCGGCGGGGAAACCCCGAAGGGCCGAACGGGAGAGCGAAAAACAGGAAAAAAAAGAAAAATCAGAAGAACAAAAAAAACCGTGTCTCCACATGGAAAAAAATTGAAAAATCCACCTCCGAGGGCGGGGAAAAAGGAAAAAACAAAAAAACTCCTCCGTCTCCTCCGCCTACCCCTCTCCCCCCTCCTCCTCATCCGTCTCCCCAAATGGGGGAAAACTGACAAAAGTAGGGCGTTTGTTTCCTTTTTCCCTCCCCCCGCCCTCTGAGGCGGAGTTTTCCTCTCTTCTCCATGTGAACACATCGGTTTTTTCCTTTGTTTCCCTTTTTTTTTCGGGAAGGAGTAGGAGGAGAAACATGAGGAGGAAAAAGGTGATATTGTTTCCTTGTGTGGGGGATCCTCCACGTATTGATTCGTTATGTGGACGGGACCTCCACATGTTGATTCCGTTTGTGGAGGGACCTCCACGTATTGATTCCTTATGTGCAAGAGGTCTCTAGATTGATTTCTTATGTGGAGGGGCCTCCCACTTGTAGATTCTTTATGTGGAAGGGGCCTTCACATATTATCTCTTTATGTGAAGGGGCGTGCACCTATTGATTCCTCATGTGGAAAGGCCTTCAAATATCGACTCCTTATGTGTAGGGGCCTCCACATATTGATTCCATTTGTGGAGGGACCTCCACGTAATGATTCCATATGTGCAAGGGGCCTCCATAATGATATCTTGTGTGGAGGGGCCTCCCACTCGTTGAATCCTTATGTGGAACGGGCCTGATTCCTCTTTTGGGGGATCCTCCACATATTGTTTCCCTATGTTGAAGGGATCTCCACATGCTGATTCCGTCTGTGGAGGGACCTCCACATGTTGACTCCTTATGTGCAAGGATCTCCGTTTTGATTTCTTATGTGGAGGGGCCACCAACTTGTTCATTCCTTACGTGGAAGGGACCTTCACATAATGATTCCTTATGCGAAAGGGCCTGCACATATGGATTCCTTATGTGGATGGGCCTTTTAATTTCGATTCCTTATGTGGAGCGGCCTCCACATATTGATTCCGTCTGTGGAGGGACCTCCACAGATTGATTCGTTCTGTGGCGGGCGATCTCCTTTTCCTCCTCCTCCTCCTTCTGCTCCTCCTCCCCCTGCTTCTCTCACTCCGGCGCAGGGCTTGAGGAGAAGAAGGATCAGAAGGAGTAGGAGGAGAAAGATGAGGAGGAGAAAGATGATATTGTTTCCTTGTGTGGGGGATCGTCCACATATTGATTCCTTATGTGGAAGGGACCTCCACATGTTGATTCCGTCTGTGGAAGGACCTCCACATATTGATTCCCTATGTACAAGGGGTCTCCATATTGATTCCTTTTGTGGAGGGTCCTCCCACTTGTTGATTCCTTATGTTGGAAGGGGTCTGCACATATGGATTCCTTATGTGGATGGGCATTCAAATGATCGATTCCTCAATTTGAGGGGCCTCCACATGTTGATTCCGTCTGTGGAGGGACCTCCACCAATTGAGTTCTTTTGCGGCGGGCGATTTCCTTTTCCTCCTCCTCCTGCTCCTCCCCCTCCTCCTCTCGCTCTGGCGCAGGGGTTGAGGATAAGAAGGAGCAGAAGGAGTAGGAGGAGAAATATGAGGAGGAGAAAGATGATATTGTTTCCTTCTGTGGAGGGGCCTCCTCCATATTTTTTCCTTATGTGCAAGGGGCCTCGCGCATATTGGTTCCTCTTGTGGGGGGGGGGTCCTCCACAGATTGGTTCCTTATGTGGAAGGGACCTCCACATGTTGATTTCGTCTGTGGAAGGACTTCCACATATTCATTTCTTAGGTCAAAGGGGTCTCCACATGGATTTCTTATGTGGATGTGCCTTCGAAATATATATATATAATATTATATATATATATATATATATATATATATATATATATACATATATATATATATGTATATATATACATACATACATACATACATACATACATACATACATATAGTTCGATATGTGGAGGGGCCTCCACATATTGAGTTTGTCTGTGGAGGGACCGCCGCATATTGATTCCTTATGTGCAAGGGGTCTCCATATTGATATCTTGTG